TCTCCGCTTGGTTTCCCCGATGTAGAGGAAGCCACACCGGGTACAGCGGATGCAGCATACCACATTGGCAGATGTGCAGGTGAACATCTGCTTGATGTGGAAAGTCTTCTTGGGGCCTGGGATGGGGGTGAGGGAGGAGGTATGGGGGCAAGTGTAGCACTTCCTGCGGTTGCAGGGAAAAGTGCCGGGTGTGGTGGAGCTGGAGGGGAGTGTGGAGCGGACAAGGGAGTCACGGAGAGAGTGGTCCCTCCGGAAAGCAGATAAGGGTGGGGAGGGAAAGATGTCTTTGGTGGTGGGGTCAGATTGCAGATGGCGGAAGTGTCGGAGGATGATGCGTTGGATCCGGAGGTTGGTGGGGTGGTACGTGAGGACGAGGGGGATTCTTTTTTGGTTCTTATTGCGTGGACGGGGTGTGAGGGATGAGTTTCTTATTGCGTGGACGGGGTGTGAGGGATGAGTGTCTTATTGCGTGGACGCGTCTGCTCCCAGGACGAGGCATTCCACTCCCGTACATCTCAGTTGTCCTCGTTTTTCAAGGACCGTAACTTCCCCCCCTCAGTGGTCGAGAACGCCCTCCACCGTGTCTCCCACATCTCCCGCAACTCATCCCTCACACCCCGTCCATGCAATAAGAACCAAAAAAGAATCCCCCTCGTCCTCACGTACCACCCCACCAACCTCCGGATCCAACGCATCATCCTCCGACACTTCCGCCATCTGCAATCCGACCCCACCACCAAAGACATCTTTCTCTCCCCACCCTTATCTGCTTTCCGGAGGGACCACTCTCTCCGTGACTCCCTTGTCCGCTCCACACTCCCCTCCAGCTCCACCACACCCGGCACTTTTCCCTGCAACCGCAGGAAGTGCTACACCTGCCCCCATACCTCCTCCCTCACCCCCATCCCAGGCCCCAAGAAGACTTTCCACATCAAGCAGATGTTCACCTGCACATCTGCCAATGTGGTATGCTGCATCCGCTGTACCCGGTGTGGCTTCCTCTACATCGGGGAAACCAAGCGGAGACTCGGGGACCGCTTTGCAGAACACCTACGCTCGGTTCGCAATAAACAACTGCACCTCCCAGTCGCGAACCATTTCAACTCCCCCTCCCATTCCTCAGACGACATGTCCATCCTGGGCCTCCTGCAGTGCCACAACGATGCCACCCGAAGGTTGCAGGAACAGCAACTCATATTCCGCTTGGGAACCCTGCAGCCCAATGGTATCAATGTGGATTTCACAAGTTTCAAAATCTCCCCTCCCCCTACCGCATCCCAAAACCAGTCCAGCTCGTCCCTGCCTCCCTAACCTGTTCTTCCTCCCACCTATCCCCTCCTCCCACCTCAAGCCGTACCTCCATCTCCTACCAACTAACCTCATCCCACCCCCTTGACCTGTCCGTCCTCCCTGGAGTGACCAATCCCCTCCCTAATTCCCCACCTACACTCACCTTTACTGGCCCCATCCCCGCCTCTTTGACCTGTTTGTTTCCTCTCCACCTATCCTCTCCTCTATCCATCTTCTATCCGCCTCCCACTCTCTCCCTATTTATTTCAGAACCCCCTTCCCCTCCCCCTTTTCTGATGAAGGGTCTAGGCTCGAAACATCAGCCTCTCTGCTCCTATGATGCTGCTTGGCCTGCTGTACTCAGAGGAGGCAGGTGTTCAGCAGGAGGCCAGAGCAACATGATAATAAGAAGCAATCTGAATTTTTAATGGTGCAAAGGCAATCCTGAGGGCATCCATAAGTGTAGGCTCACCCCTGCAGGATCTGCGTATAGAGACTGCACTCGACAGACAATGTTAAAAATACACAGATGGCTTCTGGTGTCCTTAGCCTTTCAATGCAGTCATTACTGTCCACCCTTCTTTTGAGGCTTTGACCACAGGGGCACTCTGACATTCCAGATGCTGTGAAACCTGCCCTGGATTGAAACTGTCTGCCTCAACTCACTCATAGTCCTTAAATGGACAGTTCACCTGAGGGCTGATTAAGAAGGCTTTTAGCACACTTGCTTTCATTGTTCAAGCCATTGAGTATAGGAGTTGGGATATTATGCTGAGTTTGTACAGGAAGTTGGTGAGTCCTCTTCTGGTGTCCTGTGTCCAGTTATGGTCACCCTGTTGCAGGAAGGATATTATTAAGCTGGAAGGGGTTCAGAAGAGATTGACCAGAATGTTGCGGGGAATTAAAGGTTTAAGTTATAAGGAGAGGCTGGATAGACTGGGACCTTTTTTCACTGGAGCGTAGGATGTTGAGGGGTGACCTTATAGAGGTTTATAAAATCATAAGGGGCATAGAAAAGGTGAATGGCAGGTGTCTTTTCCCTTTGGTGGGGGATTTCAAGACTAGGGGACATATTTTAAGTTGAGAAGAGAAAGAGTTAAAAAAGACATGGGGCATTTTGTTTTTGTTTTTTTACAGAGGATGGTTTGCATGTGGAATGAACTTCCAGAGGAAGTGGTGGATGCAGGTGCGGTTACAATGTTTGAAAGACATTTAGATGAGTACATGAATAAGAAATGTTTGGAAGGATATGGGCTAAGCACAGGCAAGTGGGACCAGTTTAGTTTGGGATTAGGGTCACATGGACTGGTTGGACCGAACACTCTGTTTCCATGCTGTATGATCTCTATGGCCATGGCTAATTGTAAGTACACTGTGACTCATCACAATCATGTGACCTTTGACATAGTTAAGACAGTAGATGTAGGAGCAGAAGTAGGCCATTCAGCTCATTGAGTCTGCTTCAGCATTCAACGAGATCATGGCTGATCTGATAATCCTTCACTTTCCTATATTTTCCTCATTGATTCCTTTACTGAGTGAAAACCTATCTGTGTCAGCCCTAAATACATTGAATAACCCAGCCTCAACAGCTCTCTGTGGTAAGGAGTTCTATGGATTCACAAAATCCTGAGAGAAGAAATTCCTCCTCATCAGTACATGATGCCATCTTGGCCGTTTACTTCAGCTCTGTATGTTCAAAACTCTCTCAGAGCAACATCGATGGGACCTTGATAGTTTTAGGCCATCCCTTCATCATTAGCTTCTGCAGAACCCACAATGGAGAACTGACCCAGAATACACACTGCTCTGACTAATCAACTTATGAGCCTCTAAATGCTCATGGACACTAAAAATACTCCACATCTGGAAAATACTGACACCTCAATGTGAAATCAGGTTCAGGAAATGAAATAGAGCTACAATTTGTGGTTCCAGCTCTGCATTGGTTCTCACCAATTTTTCAATCAGATTAGGTGAAAGCAATGCAGCAGGGGGGAGGTGGCCTAGTGGTATTATTGCTGGACTGTTAATCTGGAGATCTGGGTTCAAATCCCACCACAGTAGAATAAGAAACTAATGATGACCACAAATCCTTTGTCAATTGTCAGGGGAAATACCCCTCTGGCTCACTAATGCCCTTTAGGGAAGGACACTGCCATCCTTACCTGGTCAGGCCTACATTTGACTCTTATCTACCCTCTGGGCAATTAGAGATGGGCAATAAATGCTGCCAAGCCAGCAACACCATTATCCCATGAATGAATAAAGGGAAAAAAAATTTCTTGCCTCATGCACACACAGCCAGTAGCTGCCCTGTAGAGGGTGCCATGTATAGATTTCCCACTCAGAGCAAATGGCAAGAATTAAACAGAAAAAAGGCAAGTTGAAGAAAAAGCAAGTGTTCTTTATCTGCCAGTATATAATAAATTCTGACCGCTACTTTCTTTAACCCTGTACAGAAAAAAGGGTTAATCCCCCCTTTCATTGGTAAATTTCACTAGTGTAATGGCAGTCATTTTCATGACTTTCTACTCTGCTTGATTAGTGGCAATTTATCCCCATTAACTCTTTCCTTGTTATTTTCAATGCAACAGTAAGAGTGTGTCTCTTTGTCTTTTGTGAAGAACTGAATTCATTCTGGGAATTGTAAAAACACATGCTCTTATTCATTTCCATCAAAACTTATTAGGATGGTATTTCCTGTGAATATGGTGGTCCCTGTATCTCATAGACTCAGACACTCACAACACAGAGGAAGCCCTTCAGTCCATCATATCCATTCAGGTGAACAAAAGATCTGACAACAGTATTCCCATTTTCCAGCCCTTGGCCCATAGCCCTGGAGGCTATGGCAATGAAAATCAATATCTAAGTACGAGATAAATGTTACGAGAGTTTTTAACCAAAACACCCCTTCAGGCAGTGAGTTCCAGATTTCCACTACCCTCTGGCTAAAAGCTTTCTCCTTGACTCATCTCTTAGCCTTAAATCTATGGCCTCTGCTTATTGACACCCTTACTAATGGAAAAAAAAAATTGCTTTCCCAACCATCTTATCTATGCCCTTCATAATCTTATGTGTTTCTGTCAGGGACCCTCTTAATCTTCACTGGAAAACAATTTAATCCTTCCTCACAGCTCAGGCTCTCCAGCCCATGCAGCATCCTGGTGAATCTCCTGTGCACCCGCTAGCGCAATCATTTCTTTCCTATCTTTCTGAATGACCATTCGATCCACATTAAAGAGGATATGTTACATTAACTAAAATGTCATTGCTGTTTGCAAGGTAAACTAACTGCAAGCAATGAGCCATGATCTGCAGTTAGAGATTATTTATCATTTTTATACAAAAAAAAAACCTCCTCGCTCACATTTTAAATCCCTCATTCATAAGTGACAAGCCATACTAAGTGTGTGTTAGAGTAACATTGCAAGCCATATCATTAATCAACAAAATAGGGATTAGACAGACCAAGGTTTCAAACACTGCGGAGGAATCTGCAGCTGCGTCGCAGCGAATGTCGAGTAATCTGTTAAAACAACATTGGGGGCTTTTGTTTAAACACTAAACCAGTAATACTCAGAACGAGCAGTGCTGGTAAACTGAAGAAGGCAGGGATGGCCCTTACTGTTCTTACTGAGAAATGAGGAAGTTTATCTTGCGAACAAATGACGGGGTCAGCGTAATAAAACAACAAACTCACTGACCTGTGGTAGATACCGGAGATTAAACAACCCATGGGAATTAGGCGGCCTGGAACTGTTAACAAGCCCCGCATATTCCGGTGGAAAAATGTTACAGATGTATCAACCTGCAAACACTTGTGCACTAACTAGCCCTCACGGATTCACGAAAACACAATGTAAACATTATTCCATACTTCATTCATTATAGAGCAGTACTTCGTACAGCACACTGTGTGAGCTTCAATCTCAGCCCATCGTTATAGCTACCAGCTGTTAAATTGCTGGCACAATTGTATTCATGTGAGCAGCTATTACATTTGTTCAAATAACCTGTTAGTTGTTGTTTTCAACCCCTTAAACCCAATACTACCCAGTTCTTCCTTGCTTTACTACAGTGACTGGGACACAGCCCCAGAACAAACAGGGAGCACAATACTGATGAGTTCCAATGTTCCTCCGTCCTCTATCATGGGTAACATAAATGTCAATGTATGAGAACACCCACAACTGCCACCTATTGTGTGCTTTGTAGTTTTCTATATGTTAGCCCATTTAACATATACCAACAAAGACTTAGTTCTTGTTGAGTCAGATATCTTGAAGTTTATTTACAACAGTAACTATTTATGATGCTACACCATCACAGATCTGGTTTGGGTACTGAGCTCACTGATGTCACTGTAAATCACATACACTTAGCTGACTGAATGAAGTCATTACACTGACTCCATCACACAGAAATAGCAACTGAGGTGAGGCAGATACCTTTATACCAATATCACACATCAAGAGGTCATGTTACTGTCTTAAAGGTGCAGGCCTGTCTAATATGGAATCTAGAGTGTTAGAACCTTCATTGATATTTCATTCTTTTTAGTTTTAATTATTTTATCAATGTTGAATTCATCATCATAGATCATGGAATCCCTACAGTGTGGAAACCAGCCCTTCGGCCCAACAAGTCCACGCTGACCCTCAGAAGAGCATCCCACCCAGACCCATCCCTCTACCCCTTCCCTGTAACCTTGCATTTTCCATGCTAACACACCTAATCTACAGACCCCTGAACACCACAGGCAATTTAGTATGGCCAATCCACCTAACCTGCACATCTTTGGACAATGGGAGGAAACTGGAGCACCTGGCAGAAACCCACACAGACATGGATGGAATTGAACCTGGGTCCCTGGTGCTGTGAGGCAGCAGTGCTAACCACTGAGCTACTGTGAATTGCAAGCTGGAAATGACTCGTGGACTTCAGAACAGTGATAGGACTTAGGGTTAGGCTTAGGGTTAGGTAAAAGGAAAAGAACAGATCAAATCAGCTGTATTTGTTTGTGAGGCCAGGTCTGGAAGCTAATAGCAGGCTGATTCTTGATTAAAAGGGTTCCAACAGATACAATGACCCCAGGAAGAAAACTATATTTAAACAAACCTTCTCAAGGGCAACTGGGTACAAGCAATAAATGCTGGCCAACCAGCCATGCCCACATCCCACAAATGAATTAATAATGTAAAGTTAACAGAAGTTGGCTTTAACAAAGTTAGTGCCTGGGAACTGGTTCCAGCAAGTCTGGAAGAGATCCTATGTTTAAGCAGATAGCAGTAGATGAATGGCATTTGAGGCCTCAGGAAGAGTTGATCAGTTTATCAGGGTGGAACCAGAATTAAAGGTTTTTTTTCAGCTTTGTCTTCAGAGAGATGGCTCTGGGCTGCTGCTGAGATAGCATGTTGATTTGAAAACTCCCTACCTAATCTGATACACCAATTTCTGGAAGCTGAAAGAGTAGAAAGCTGAGTTCGAAATAATGCTGCTTTTGTCTGGGTGAACTGAGAAGGTGACTCTGATCAACATGTCGGAGAAGCAGGCCAGGAGTCCACATTTTTACCTGTGAAACAATGCACTGTGAAAGTCTTTTAAGTCATCTGGCCAGTTTTGTTATTTTCTTTTATTGTGTGTTTGGGGGCTGAAATCAAATGTTTCAGATTTAATGAACTCACCGTGTTGCTTAATTTTATTTCTGCTGAAGTTATTCTGTATTTAATAGATAATTAAGGTTTTTTTTGCTAAAGATACTACACCAGTGTCTGGAAATTAACTATTCACAAAGTCTGCGTTTGGTCATTCAAAAGTATGGTTAGGAACCATTGGAGAGACTATTTGGGGGTCTCTGGCTGCTTGACTTTACTTGTGAGTACAAAGGTAAAAATTTTGATTTAGTTCGGCTGTCTACCTCTGTGTCATTACAAGAGAAATTCAACAGGTCTGACAGCATCTATGGAGAGATTTTTTAAAAAAACCTGTCTAAAAAGGCAAGTTGCCTTTTTCATGACCTATTTTAATTGGCTGAGAGTCTCTGTGATTTAAATATCAATATCAGTACATACTGCGGGGAACCTTGGAGAGATAGAAATAAAAATCATTGAGCATTCAAGGGATTGATTTTTTTTGTCACTTTCTTTGAATATTTCGCTGAAATTCCTTGACCAATATCCAACTGGGCAATGACTCCTTTTGCTTTCCAAATGCCATAGGAAGGCAGTATGTCTCAAGGATGGATGTGTTCATTTACTAATGACTGGACTCCAAGGCCAAGTCACGTGATGAAATTTCTAGGAATGCATTAATCGCAGTTGGCATCCTGATTCTCCCTCTCTTCAACTTTCCTCACTAAGCATTGTTTCCTACTTGTCCCTCGTTGCACGAAGTGTATGATCATTGTATTCACCTTCAAACTCGCTCTGTGCACTCAGTTTATCTCAGTGACTTCCTCCAGTACTGTGGCCATTCAATGTCTATCTGTCTTTCAATTGCCCCTTCCTCCAATTTAGTCACTGAATTAGGAATCTAGAGTCCCAGTTTAATGCCCTGGAGATATCAGTACAAATCTCACCATGGTTAATCCTGAATTCAATAAAAAAATCTCGAATTAAAAACTGACTATGTAACAACTGGGGATTGTTGCAAAAACCCATCTGGTTCACGGATGGAAGGAAAGTCTGCCGCACTTACTGGTCCAGCCTACATATGACTCAAGTCATAGTCATAGAGCCATACAGCACAGAAACAGGCCCTTCAGTCCGACCAGTCCATGTCGGACATAATCCCAAACTAAAGTAGTCCCACCTGCTTGCTCCTGGCTCATATCCCTCTAAATCTTTCCTATTCATGTATCTATTACAAAACATTGTAATTGTGCCCACATCCACAACTTCCTCAGGAAGTTCATTCCACATGTGAACCACCCACTGTGTAAAAAATTTGCTCCTCATGTCTTTTTTAAATCTCTCTCCTCTCACCTTAAAGTTGTGCCCCCTAGCCTTGAAATTCCCCATCCTAGGGAAAAGGCAATGAGCATTAACTCTATCTATACCTCTCAATACTTTATAAACTTCTATCAGGTCATCTCTCAGCCTCCTATGCTCCAGCAAAAGAAGTCCCAGCCTATCCAGCCTTTCTTTGTAACTCAAACCTTCCAAACCTGGCAACATCGTGGTAAATCTGTTCTGAAACCTCTCCAACTTGGTAATATCCTTCCTATAACAGGGCGACCAGAACAGGACACAGTACTCCAGAAGACACCTTGCCAATATTGTGTACAACCTCAACATGACTTCCCATCTACTATACTCAAAAGGACTGAGCAATGAAGGCAAGTGTGCCAAATGCCTTTTTAACCACCCTGTCTTTACGTGTCGCAAACTTCAAAGAATAGTATACCAGCACCCCCCAGGTCCCTCTGTTCTACAACACTACCCACGGCTCTACCATTAATTGTATAAGCCCTACCCTTGTTTGTTATACCAAAATGCAATACCTCGCATTTATCCAGATTGAATTTCATCTGCCATTTTTCAGCTCATTGACCTATTTGATCAAGATTCCTTTGTAATCTTAGAAAATATTCTTCATTGTTTACAACGTCACCGGTTTTGGTGTCATCCACAAACTTACTAACGATGCCTTCTGTATTCTCATCCAAATCATTTATGTAAACGACAAACAAAAGAGGACCCACAACCAATCCCTGTGGAACACCACTGGTCACAGGCCTCCAGTCCGAAAAGCAACCCACCGCCATTACTCTCCATCTCCTGCTGTAGGGCCAATCAAGTATCTAACCAGCAAGCTCATGCTGAATCCCATGTGACCTAAATTTACTCGTTAGTCTATCATGCGGAACCTTGTCAAAGGCTTTACTGAAAACCAAATAAACAATGTCTACTGCTCTGCCATCATCAATCTTTTTGGCAACTTACTCAAAAAACTCAACCAAGTTTGTGAGACACAATTTTCTTCACATAAAACCATGCTGACTATCCCTAATCAATTTTTCCCTCTCTAAATGTCCATAAATCCTATCTTTTATAATCACCTCCAACCCCAGGAGATGGGGGAGATACTAAATGAATAGTCTATCAGTTTTTACTGTGGAGAAAGAATTCGAGTCTACAGAATACAGAGAAATAAATTTTGATGTTTGCAAAACAGTTCACATTACAGAAGAGGAAGTTGGGAAGACTTAGAGAATATAAAGGTGGATAAATCTCCAGGACATGATCAAATGTACGCCAGAACATTGTGGGAAGTAAAGAAGGAAATTACGGGACACCTTGCAGAAATATTTGCATCCTCCATAACTATGGGTCCAGGTTCATAGCAATGTAATTAATACTTAGGGATAGAGTCATACAATCATAGTCAGACAGCACGGAAACAGACCGTTCGGTCCAATTCATCCATGCCAACCAAGTTTCCTAAACTAAACTAGTCCCACTTGCCTGTGTTTGGCTCATATCCCTCTAAACCTTTCCTATTCATGTACCTGTCCAAATGCCTGTTAAATGTTATAACTGTACCTGCATCTACCACTTCCTCTAGCAGTTTATCCTAATAAATCTTTTCTGAACGCTCTCCAATTTAATGATGTCCTTCCCATAGCAGAGCAACCAGAACTGCACACACTACTCCAGAAGAGACCTCACCAACGTCTTGTACAACCTCAACATGACATCGTACAACCCAACTCCTACACTCAATGGTCTGAGCAATGAATAGGGAATGATTAATGTCCATTGATGCCCACATGCAATGAACAAATAGAAAGAAAATAATTGGGAAAGCGAGTGAACATTCAGAAAGGAAACTAAGAGCCATCAAGTCAATACAAATGCTCACTGTACAGGTGCATGATATGTGTGCCTTTCCCTGTTT